CCATGACTCAAAAATGCCGAAAGCAGTGCAAATAGGTAAGTGTACCATCTGGGAAAATTACTTGTGTGTGTGCGAATGACCACCACATGATTTCATTCGCATTAACATTCAGCAGGTATTGTTCATATTCATTTTCCAAGTAGATCTTCAGCTTCATCATCAATGCAGGTATGTGTGTTGGGGAGCTTTCATGAAGATGTACAGGTTTCTCTTCCACTAGCACACTGCGGAATCGAAACCCTATCATAGCGAGTGCATGCTGAGTCAAAGCTTTGTTTTCCTTGCAACTTAGCCGGGCCCAAGAGTCATCTTGATCCAAACTATGAATGACCTAGCTGTCGGTCGGAAATGCCCTGAAGAGGCATTTGCTTGGGAAGGGCGGGACAAACATCTCCTGGCAGTTTATGGGCCTCCAAATCCAGCCGCACTTGGCCCTGTCGATGATACTGAATATATCTTGCTAAATCCTGAGCCTCTCACATTACCATATGCATCTGGTGGACAGTTCGTTGAAGTCAAGATTTACTCATGGAATGAAATGACTGGACCGCTCAGGAGCGAAGATATTACCGTTTGGTCCAACAGCACATCAGCAACAGACGGAAACACCATTGTGGAAGGAGTGCATACATATGATACAAGAGAAAAGTCCCACCCTTGTTCGGTTCGTTGAGAATTTTAGTACTGTCTTCAACCACTGATGATTTCTGTTCCAACTTTATATGCGATGATAGATATAGCGGTGATTTCGTGGCCGCCCTCAAGAAGCGTCATCTTACATCTCCTCGAGGACGGTGAAGAGCAGAGGGAGATGAATTATTGACGAAATAGCTTGAACACCTTTAACGGCCCAACATTTCAATCGTCATGGTATATACCGTATACCGTATACCGTATACTGCATGTGTACGTATCAGAATCCAGAATTCAAATGACAGACCGTACATCGTCCGGTCCGTAAAAGATTCATTCAGTCGATTGGTCGATTACCGCATTACTTGTATTTTAATATGACGGACTACATAATATATATGGTAGTACCGGT